AACAAAAGCTAACTCAGACTAACCTTGCTCTATAGAGAAAGCCAAAGAACTTGTCACAGGATGTGACATAGAGGAATAAGAGGACATATGTGACACCGCCGGGAAACACAATCCGTGTTTCCTGGCTGAGCCCTGCCTTCCAGAGTCCAGGCTGATTGACACTTTGCCTCCTCCTTGCGTAAGTCTGCTGGCACGTGCTGAATCACACCTACCACATAGCTCAGGGAGTTTCTCTGGCCCTGAATATGTCAGTAGCAAGGCCAGGGCTTCTCTCCAGTTCTTCAGGCTACAGGCGCATACTAGGTCTTTCCAATTCTTCTTTATAACACAGGCTAGAAGCTGTACTGGGCAGAAAGGGGAAGAGACCCTCAGTCTTCCACCCAGCACAGTCAGTAGATGTCACACACACTGGGATGTTCTAATAAAGCCACTCATGTCAGAACATCCAACAGGACTAGCAAGAAATAGCGGTTGTTAGAGTAGGGAGACAGGTGGATTCCAAACACCGGTCCCAAGAAATCCCCTCCCTTCTTCTCCTGTGTGATAGGCAGTACCGAAGAGATTTTGGTTCTCCTCTTGGCCAAGTAGTGATCTTGTGTCCACTTCAGCAGCTCTGCTCCCCCAGCCTGGGCCAGGATGATGGCATCAGCAAAGCGTTCTTCCTTCATACACAGCTCCACAGCAGGCCGCAGTTCCCCAAGCATCAGGGCCTGGCTCAGAAGTCCATCAATGTCTACACAGAGGCACCTCACACCATTAGCCAGCCCCACACTCACTTCCTCCCCCATTAGCCCCACACTCACTTCCTCCCCCATTAGCCCCACACTCACTTCCTCCCCCATTAGCCCCACACTCACTTCCTCCCCCATTAGCCCCACACTCACTTCCTCCCCCATTAGCCCCACACTCACTTCCTCCTCCATTAGCCCCACACTCACTTCCTCCTCCATTAGCCCCACACTCACTTCCTCCTCCATTAGCCCCACACTCACTTCCTCCCCCATTAGCCCCACACTCACTTCCTCCTCCATTAGCCCCACACTCACTTCCTCCTCCATTAGCCCCACACTCACTTCCTCCCCCATTAGCCCCACACTCACTTCCTCCTCCATTAGCCCCACACTCACTTCCTCCTCCATTAGCCCCACACTCACTTCCTCCCCCATTAGCCCCACACTCACTTCTTGTCCCTTAAAACCCACAGAACTCCCCCCTTTGGTTCCAACTTTTCAAACAAGACAGGATGTGCTGGCTCCCTCCATAGTGTGTTTGGAGGCCTGTCTGCAAACTCTGTCTCTAATTCAGTCCACCTGGTTCCACAAAACTTCCAAGTTGCATTTCTGGGCAACAAAAATGTAGTGTCCTAGGGGTGCCCTTGTCCAACTGTAACTTTCTAAAATAGGAGTCAAAACAGAGAGGGCCTTGTGTACAGGATTTCAGGCATGATGTATGCTTGCTCAGGATGGGCAAGGACACAGTCCTTTTAATAAGAAAACTAAGGGATGGAAATCGACCTCAGTAGGAAGCCATCCATAGGCATCACCCATCATTAGACTCTGACTAGAGAGAACACTGGCTGAGATTTTAGGTGGAAGGCAGGAGGCAACAAGGGACTGTTAAAACCAAAACCCTCTGGGCCCACCTTCTGTGGTGGGAATCTCCCATGGAGTCATGTTCTGAGGAAGCAGCTCATCAAAGAATGCTGAGGGCGCAGAGGCCTCCTCAGTGGTGTGTTTGGAGACCTGTACGCAGAAGGACAGATGTCACTGTAGGAACCCAAACCAGAGTACAGAGTGCATGCACTCACCAAAGCTCTGCTATTTGTGCCCTAGTGCACAACTAAAAGTGTGCAGATGGGTTTGGGCAGTACTGATGAGGGGAGTCCTTCTGTATATATGTTTCTCTTATTGGTTGGTGAATAAAAACACTGTCTGGCCAATTAGGCAGAAAGATAGATGGGACTAAGACAAGGAGAATTCTGGGAAAGGTAGGCAGATAGGGCCCACCAGACAGTCACCATGTAGGCTGCCAAAGGAGAAACAAGTCTGGACCCTTCTCTGGTAAGATAAGACCATGTGGAAATACTTAGATTAATAATTAAGACAGAGCTAGCCAATAAGAAGCCTTAGCCTTTGGCCAACAGTTTTAAAATTAATACAGCGTCCATGTGTTTATTTGGGGCTCAAGGGTGGTGGGCTGGAGGGAAAGAACCTCCGTTACAAAGTACTCTGTGGACTCTGTGTCTTACTCTGCTTCTCCAGAAGCAGATGGAAGGGCCAGCAAGGAGACTGCTCCCTAAAGTGCAGGTCTCCTATGCTACCTCAAGTCAGGCCCCACCATACCTGGTGGCAGAAGGGTTGTGGTATGCTACCTCAAGTCAGGCCCCACCATACCTGGTGGCAGAAGGGTTGTGGTATGTTACCTCAAGTCAGGCCCCACCATACCTGGTGGCAGAAGGGTTGTGGTCTGTCCCTTTTGAGGTCAACCGCCTCAAGCTGAGGGCTTCCCCCTAATTTCAAGTCATTCTTCAGGCGTGTGTCCACCTGTGAGGAGAGCCTTATAAATCCTACTCTTCAGTGTAGGCTCCCATGAACCTTATGCCCCTTCCCCCATGCCCTGCCAACTATACTCTCCAAGATCCTCCACCCACTTTTCTGGAGAAAATCCGAATTCCAGGATGTAAGACACACATCTGTGGTGAACTATGGCCAGGTGAGCTGGAACAGTTTCCTTCAGCAGGATTATTTGCTCACTAAGGCCCGGCGTGAAAAGCTTACCTTCTTCTGAAGATCATCTTTGCTGAACCCTAACAGCCTGAGGAACTGCAGTCTAGAGTCATGCTCTGAGGTCACCTAAGGAACCAGAAAATGCAGAGACACTTCCATTAAATGAAGGTGAATGGCCCTTCTCCTGTCTCACCGTGAACATTTTTATGAGTGTACAAATATAGTTCCCTCAGAACAGTGAGGCCGCCTCTCACCTTTCTTCCTCAGATCTGGCTTTTTCTGGGCTGTGGACAGTATTATCACAACCCTTTGCCATTTCTACATGAGAAGTGCACCTTCAGTTGATTGGGAAACTCAGTTATCCAGGTAACTTAATGAGAGTAAAACACGGGCTGTTTTGAGGCACTACTGCTTGTAATTGATTGGTTATGACATCTGTCCTGGAACTATGCAAACCATGAATAGCTGACATGGACACCATGTCAGGCTTTTTCTGACTTCACGGGCTCTGGTTACTGGACATATCCCTCTGGGGTCTTGATGGGAGATGTCATTCTGTAAATATGTTTCTCATACTGGTTAATGAATAAAGTACTGTTGGCCAATAGGAAAGGAAGATAGGAGGGGCTAGGAGACAAGGAGGAGAGAGGAAGTGGTAAGGAAGGAGTCAAGATGGAGAGTCTGGGGAGACAAGACGCTGGCCCCTTTTCCCGGTAAGAAGACCACGTGGAAATATTAGATTAACAAAAATGGGTTAATACTTAAGACAGAGCTAGCGGATAAAAAACAAGTAACTGGGCCAACAGCATTGTATCAAATACAGACTCTCTTTGTGTTATTTGGGGCTGGTGCAGCGGTGGGACCAGACCAGGTGGCGGGCAGAAAAACCGTACCCCTTACAGATGGCGCCCAACATGGCTACTAAGAGAGAACAGAACCGCCATTCCTCCGCTCTCGGTAAGACCATGTGGAAATACATAGAAATGGGTTAATAATTAAGACAGAGCTAGCCGATAAGAAACTAGCACCTGGCCAATAGTATTGTATCAAATACAGAGTCTCTGTGCATTATTTGGGGCAGGTGCAGTGGTGGGCCCAGACCAGGTGGTGGGTGGAAAAACGGTACCCCTTACAGGGTCTCTTAAACTGACCCTTGACCTTTCTGCCTGAGCAGCTCTAAGTCAGGGCACCTTACGTATCTGCTTGCGTCCACCTGGGTCATCTCCTTGCATCTGAGCTGTGTGGGGAGCTAAAGGGAACTCTGAATTGCTGCATGGACTACTGAAAAGATTTCACCACAGGAGAGTACCACTGGCTTGTCCTGGGATAAGCTGTGCTCCTGCTCTCCAACCCTCCGAGGAGACTGATGCCCACTGAGTTGAGAAGACAAGGTAGAAGATGCACAGGTATAGCACACAAGGTCAGCTTCCCACTCAGAACCCCAGACCCCAGGGGCCAAATGGCTGGGTCAGCTGACCTCCACTCTTTGTTTCTTCTACACTGAACAATGGATTCTGACTATAATCTTTCTAACAATCTCTTGCCTTCCTCCTCCTTCCATGCTTTTCCTTGGAATGGCCCTCCATACCCAGCTTCAAAAACCATCATGATGGACAGCTCTGAGTATCTTAGTTTACATTAATTTACTTGTTTTGTGTGTTTATGTGTGTGGGCACGTGTGTGGGGTTATATTCACATGTGCTTTTGGATGTGTTCACGTGTGTGTGTGTGTGTGTGTGTGTGTGTGTGTGAGAGAGAGAGAGAGAGAGAGAGAGAGAGAGAGAGAGAGAGAGAGAGAGAGAATTGGAGTACCAAGCCTCATATATGTTAGGCAAGTACTCTGTCATAAGCTAGTCCTCGTGTCTGCTGACAAGCACATATGCCTCCATGTTACAATGACATAGTGAAGACTATAACTACATCCCTGGTGCTGAAGTGGCCCAACAGGGACCTGCCCTGGGTTACATCAAACAAACCCCCAAACTCCTTATGTTCATGTATCCTTCCAATGAATCTTCCCTTTGGCATGATACCATGAAGGCATTTTTCTCGGCTGGTAAAATACCCTGGACACCACCACCAGCAGCAACCCCCACCCTCTGCATCGCATCAAGTGGCCTTTGAGCCTCTAGAAAGGGTAAAGGCAAAGAATAAAGAGCCTGTGTCCAGAGAACACAGAGAACTCTGAGTCAGGGCACGGGCTTCGAAGGGGTTTCAGGGTGCTTGCTACATCTCCTGGAGCTGACAAGGGCTGAAGTTCTGGATCTTTAGGGAAGAACAGGCAGTCTTCAAGCCTCCTACCTTCAGGAATTGCCAAAGCATCTTCTCACACGGCAGTGAAGCTTGCTGAATCTTGCTCTGACAATAATTAAGAAGATTTCCAGATCTCAAGGCCTCCTGCAGCATGGCTGACTGCATCAGAAATTCTGATTCTGTGACGACTTGACTGATGTAGACAGGGCGGGGACAAGGCTGTGGCATCCGCTGGACTGGGATGCTGGGAAGGCCAAAAGTAACCAGCTTTCCCCCAAACTGGGGAGGAAATGTAGAAAGTAGAAGGTTATACTTTCAAGCCAATAGCCAAGTTAAGATTTCAGAGAAGGCTGTTAGTCAAACCTTGGATAAGTGTGGTGGTTGGACTGAGCCTGGCCCCTATACGCTCACATGCTTGAATGCTTGGATTGGAAGCCTTGTTGGAGGAAGTATGTCCTGAGTCTGAGTGTTGAGGTTTCCAGGGCCCAAGCCAGGCCCAGTGGCTTTCTCTCTTCCTGCTGCCTACAGATCTGGATGTAGATGTCTCAGCTACCATGTCTGCCTGCATCCCACCACGTTCCCCCACATTGATGATAATGAGCTAAATCTCTAAAACTGTAAGCAGGCCCACAGTTCAATGCTTTCTTTCATAACAGTTGTCTTGGCCATGGTGTCTGTTCACAGCAATAGAACAGTGACCAAGACAGATGGGAAACCAACAGAAAGTTTCTAGGAAGGAGCAATCAGAAATTGAATGCCAAATGGGTCCTATAATAATACCACCACCACAAGGTTAAAATGCCATCACTTGGTACTCTCTCCCAGTCCTAGTACCGCCACTCTCAGGCACGTAGAGAAAACAAGGCGGCGCCATCACAGGCTCTACATCCCACCATAGCCACGCTCACCGCCCCTCTGCTCTGTCAATGCCTCCCACGCAAGCACTCTTTTTCCTGCACACCCACGTCACTAGAAGTGCTTGTTAGCCGTTCTCCATTCTTCCAATCCACGGCTTAGAGCCTGCCCTATTGCTCACACAACCCTGTTGCTACCCCAGACTGTATAATGGTTTGACAGACCACAGGAGATTGCTCACACTCACTCCCCTGAATGCACAACCCCCCCCCCCGCCAGTTAGGGCCAAACATGTCTACCCCAGCATCTTCCTCTATGTGACTGCTCAGCATTCCAAAAGTGACTGGCTCGTCCCCACTTCTGTGCCTTTACCTACAACACCACTCCACTCGGGGCATCCAGCCACCCAAATCTGACACTGTACATCAAGCAGACGGCACACAATCAGAGGTCTGGCAATCCTTTCTCCAAACATTCTCCATCTCCAGTCACCAGGCCACACCCCAGACAATGACAGCAGGAGCTGGGTGAGAGCTGCACCAGTGATTTTGAAACCCTCAAGTTATTCCAATGTGTGACCAAGATTGACACACTGCTCCACTCCCTAGCCAGTCATTATCTTCCCTCCTAAATCCCTCTTGCTTAGTGAATTTTCTAGGCATAATTATATCACTTACAGGATAAACTTTAGAGCACAGCTTAGTGTTCAGCAAAGCCATTTAAATTATTATAATTTGCACAGTATTTGACAGTGTTACAGAATTCTGTGCAGGCACTACTACTTTCATCTACAAATGAAGATACTGATTGTTGATAGCCTGGCATTACGCTGACCCCACCCGTGACAACTGGCAGGGTACAGTACATTGGCATTCAGGCAGATACTTAGACAGCTCAAAGGGCCCTGCATTGAGTGGCCATGTCATGTGTTACATGGCTGAGTAAGGATTCTGTATACATGTGCAAGCTTTCCCTTTTAAGCAAGCACCTCCTGCCTGTTCTCTCTCTTTCCATTTCTGCTCCTAGTTGGCTGACACCAACCCCTCCCTCCCTTCACTCCCTTTCCCAATAAACTCCACATGGGTTTTGCTGAGTTTTGTGGTGCAGTATTTCATCGCTTGGAGCTGCAGCAAACAACAACGCTGATGTCCTGATGGGTTGGTTAAATGGCACTTCAGAGTCACCTAACTAATTAGCAACAGCTATGACAAGAACTCTTTACCTTACTGCCCCTGCCCTTTGTGTTGGGGGTAATGGTGTGAGGCATTTGAACTCAGGGCCGTGGGCATGCTAAACAAGCTACATCCCCAGTGCCCACTCTCCTTTTATAAAGACATTCCTAAGTCACACCTTTGTAATAAAACTGCTGGCAGGGTCTACATACATACATACATACAGACAGACAGGCAGGCAGACAGACAGACAGACAGACAGACACAGGAATACAAATCTCTACAGAATGGAGGCTAATGTTAACAAAGATTAAGAACAGGTATCTTGGAGGGGATGGTATTTATGTAGGAGTTCTCTTTATAGTCCTCTGTAGGATTCAGTGAGCACAGGAGAGAAGCTGAAGGATGAGTCACAAGAGAGGTGAGGGGTTGTTCATAGGGGAGAAATGAGTCATGTGTACCTGAAATGCAAGGGGCTGATGAGAATGAGATAGAAAAAGAAACTGGGAAGGGAAATGGAGCCCCATGCATACACAGCCTTAGGCCTATAGGGCAGGGGAAGCTCAAAACTTTTGAGTAGTGGGACGATAGGATGAAATCTCCATGGTTTTTGTTCCTTCCTTGTCACCAGTCCAAACATTTCACAGGTACAGAAATCTCAGGTAGAATTTCAGGCTGTTTGTCATGAGCAGGAGGACTGAAGCATTGGTTTTCGTTTAGACAGGACTGGCAGGTCAATCAGGTGGCAGAGTGGTAACAGTGAGAGAAGAATCTGGACTAACCATCTACTTGAGAAGTGGACTGAGACAGACATGGGGAACAAGTCACCTGAGCTTAGCTCCTTGCTGGGCATGAGAGGCACTGCACACAGACACAACACTCACAGCAAAGGAAACGCCTGCTGGCCTTCTCATCCACTTGGGAGGCTTCTTCAAGGGAGGTATTAACGGAGCTGGCTCAGGCACACACATCAGTGGCAGAGGCTTACCTTTGCTAAATGAAGAGGAAATCTGGAGGGAAAGGACACCTGTGTCACCAACACTGAGCGGCATCTTAGCGAGGGACTCTACCCACAATCTCAATTTAGGGATGGATCCCTGTGATACCCAGTTTGATCTAGAAATGAAGACTCCCACAGTCCAGGGGATGGGGATAACAGAGAAAGGGAATAGGAGACTCGGATGTGCGAGCCGCTTGGAAGAAGACATGCAGCAGAAAGGGAGGTATGTGAGCCCATACTTGAGGTGAAAGACACAAAATAGAGGTTCGGAGTGAGTAACAAGAGTAAAGATGACACTTTCCTCTCTATTGCGGCAGAAGCTGACTTCATCCCAGGAAGTCTGGTACTAATGCAAGATATAGCCCTCTCAAACCCAAGCCTGCCTCCCTCTCTTCAATAGCTCCCGTTTCTTCCCAGACTATGTGTCCTTCTCTTTCCCCTAAAACACAGACAGCGCCTCCCTCCGGCACTCTACCAAGCCCCTCAAACCTTGTCAGGCTGCCTCATGTGCTGGTCCTCCCAGCTCCTACCCATCACAGAGTACAAACTGATCCAGCCATCGAAGGAGACCGCAGAGAACACAGGAGGGTTCTGGGGGCACCACTGGACATCAAAGCACCAGCTGTTCTGTGTGGGTAGCTTGTATACCACCTGCCATGAGAGCACAACCATCAGGAGCAGTCCAGGAAATGCTGACTTAGGTCACATAGCCGGGATCCCTCTGCCATCACATCTCCATCACAGCGTGCCTATAGAAGGACCAGTCTACCTCACTGCTTGCCAGGTTCCAACAAAAGATCTGGTTGTCTTTGGCACTGCTAAGCACCAGTTCAGAGTCAGCCTGGCTCCATGACATCGACAAGATCCCCCTAAAAATGAAGGCAAAGAGGAACGGATGTTTGCTGAATGCCAGCTCTGAGTAGGTGCCTCCTACATTGTAGATAAGGCTCAGCTCTTCAAAGTGGATGCTCTGACTGGCTTTGTCAAAGCAGAAAACAAAGCTGTGAAAAGTGAGTATCTGTCAGATATAGGCATGAGGACTTGAGATTGATTCCTGGTGCCCATGAAACCAAGCTTGGCAAGGTAGTACATATATTCCCAGCTCTAGGCAATCAGAATCATGAGCATCCCTGGGGTTCACTGGCCAACTGACCTTGACCAACTGGAGAGCTTAAGACTTTCAATGAGAGACCTTGTCTCAAAAAACCATGTTGGTGGATATCTACTAAGGGACACCTGAGGTTGACCTCTGATCTATGCACACACACACACACACACACACACACACACACACACACACACACACACACACACACGAGAGTCCTAAAGGAGGGGCAAACAAAGGCAACATGACCCCTTGGTTAGAAGATACTGTGGAGCTGCTTTCTCTGCTGTGGGTCCATGAACTATAGCGTCAGAGGCAGGTCTTCCTGAACAGATGGGAGCCAAGTTGCTCCCCACTCAGAGAAATGAACACTGTTCTCAGAGCAGAACCTAGAATGCTCCCAAGAAGACTGCTATACTTTGGGTTTTGTTTGCTTTGTTTTTATGAGCCAGGATCTCATCTGTGCTCAGGCTTTGCCTCATTTTCATTATGCTGCCCAGGGTGACCTTGAATTCCCAGCAATCCTCCTGCGTGCTGGGTTAGAGGCATAAGCCAGTACACAGTTTATACCTTAGATGTTAACTAAGGCTGGGTGTGGCAGCATATGCCTTCAATCCCTCCTCTACTTTAAATGTTAAGCATCTCACAAAAATCTATTGTTAAAGTCTGGTCCTCAGAGAGAGAGGCTACTTGGAAGCCCCCAGTAACAGGAGAGGTCTCTGAAAGAGGGCTCTGAAGGAGATGCTGGGACTCTGTCCTCTTCCTAGATCTCTTGCCCCCGGGCCATGGGGTGAATGGCTCTGCTTCCTACACACTCCTGCCATAATTGGCTGCCACATCACAGTCCTCAAAGTAAGGACACTAGTCAATCACGAACAGAGAACAAGGCATTTTCTTTACAAGTTAATTACTTCAGGTAGTTATTATAGTGGTAGAAACTAACACAAGGGTTAATATTCTCAAATATTTCTCATGCCCCCACCCCTGGAAGAATATGGAATTCCAGGCTCTTCTCCCAGGCTCCAAAGGAACCTCTCTTAAAACTAGTATTGATTATGTTCTTTGCAATGGCTTTGAGGACAGGGTAGGTATTAGTAGCTAAAAGGAGGCCTGGATATGTGGACGGCTTTGAGATCTACCTGCTGTGGCTTTCCAACACTGTCAGGGGGGAGGAGGCAAAGCGCAGGTCCCACAGCTGAATCACCGGGAGCCGGTCATCTTCTGAGCACAGCACTAACTGGGTGGCTATGTCTGGGTGCCAAGCCAGGCCTGAGCAGTTCATCTGTGGACAAAGTAGATCCTGAGGGCTGACACAACCTAACCTCTCAGACTATGAACTCCTGCCCAGTTGGAATGAGACTACCCCGAGGGTACCTTTGGTCTCTTCTCTCTGGCTGGGAACAACTCAGCCATCAGGGAATAAATAATGACCATGAACAACAAGGCATACTATAAGAATCCCGATCAGCTGGTTGGCTTCCCATGCAGTCACTCTAATAGGAACTCCGCTATGGGGCTGAGTCTGCACTACCAACACTTGAGAATGGATCTCAGGTCTGGGCAAGAGCAGTTCTAACTGCCCGACACCGAGAGCAGCCAGAGTCCCCGCCTGTGCTCTGGCCACTACTCACTCTGCTGCTGTGGTCACTGACTTTGATGATGGGCTCATTCTTCCTGAGATCCCACACAACTGCTTTGCCACTGGGGTGAGCAGAAGACAGAATGTGCTGGACTTGGCGGTTCCAAGATAATGCTTTGATGTCTTCTGGGGGGTTCTGAAGCAAGATGGTAAAAATGACAACCTGTCATAACCTGGTAAAGTGACACCTGCCATTCTATCCTCCCAACAACCCACACCAAGTCCAAAGGAGGCAAGAGGTCCCTCCCACTAAGACAGCCTAGGGAGCTGAGGGTGCATTTTCCCAGAAAGATGCTTTCAGATATTAGTACAGTACTCTTTTCCCATTCTGTAGGCTGATGGTGTCCTTGCGGTCTAGTTTATGAGTTGTCTATCTTAGTGCCTGTGCCTGGTGTTCTGTTCAGGAAGTTGTCTCCTGTGCTAGTGTTTGAGATTATTTCTCACTTACTCTTCTATCAGGTTCAGTGTATCTAGATTTATGTTGAGGTCTTTGATCCACCTGGACTTGAATTTTGTGCAGGGTGACAGATATAGATCTATTTGCATTCTTCTACTTGCTGGGTCTCCTTGCCCGGCCTTAATACATGGGGAGGTGCTTAGTCTTACTGTAACTTGATATGCCCTGTTCTGTTGATACTCACGGGAGACCTGCCCTTTCCTAAACAGAACTGGAGGAGGAGTGGATTGGGGGTGGGAACAGAGGGGGTGGGGGAACTGGCTGGGGTGTAAAATAAATAAGTTTACTTTGTAAAAGAGGTACTGGGATGGAAGTGGGAGGGAACGGCTGGCACACCTGGGCTTAGCTCTACGCCTAAGTTCTCTTAAAAGTACAGCATCAAGATTGAAAGATAAGCCCCTCCCTAGGACAGAGAAGGAGAAGTCCCAGAGAAGAAAACAGACAGTGTCATTTTCAGGGTACCAAGTGCTAGCCTACCCACATTATTTCATAGGAAAGCACGAGACAGATAAAAGTAAGAGGATGAGCTGAGCTACAGAGTAACAGAGGCACACCAGACCAGAGAGCCCCTCCCCACCAAAGGATGCTGGTGTGCCCAGAGTTCCACCCTTGATCCTTCTCTATTGAACTCAGGACCTACCCCGGTCTGTCCCCAGCCCCCAGCTGTGATAAATATCATTCCCTGACTTTCTTGGCGTCTTTTGGCTCCCCTACCCTTCACTTCCTTCCAGAAATCCTTTGAACAGCTAATGACCACTATGAACCACCTGCTAGGCACAGCCCCTCTCCTTACTCCTAGATGGCTACTAGAGTGTCTGTGGAGTTTTATTGCCCTCCAGTGGTAGAGCCTGAAATCTCTGGTACTCTGCAGGCACCAGAATTCACTTTATTTGGGAAAACCTGTCCACACTAAGCTGCAACCCCAGGCTGGAGGGAGCCTCCTTACCTGTGACTTGGATCCAGGGATCATTGGAACACTCAGGTTGTTCAAATCCCAAATGAAGATTTCAGAATCACTGGCTCCTGAAGCCAGGAGATTGCTCTGTATGAATATAAATATAAAAGCTATGTCTAAAGACCCCCTCCCATCTCAGAAACAGAGAGGGAGGTGACCTACATTTGGGAAACCCAGAGCCTTCCCCATTACAGCCTGGAAGGGTTCAGAGCTACATCCTGGAGGCCACAAGAGAACACTTCCATTCAGACATGCTGCACCATGCCTTGACCAGATCAACTACAGTTCAGTACCTGGAAGGGATTAAAGTCCAGGGCCCTGACAGCCCCTGTGTGTTTCTGTCTCTTGGCAATCAAGGGTTCCTTTCCTGAAGAAAGGATGTGGGCCACACTGTACAGAGTAAGCATGCCATTGTCTCCTCCACCAGCAATAACCCCAGGGTTTTCCAGAAGCCCATTGCCAAAGCTTCCCCAGATTAGCTTGTGAAACCTACAAAGGAAAAGACTTTAGGTACATGACAGTATTCAGGGGACAGACATTTTTGCTAGTATCTACTATCCTGCAGGCCCCCCAGCCCAAACCTGTATCAGCTTGTCTGTTTTCCTTATTCTTCAGACCCAGAAGAGAAGTCTCCTCTGCTAGGCCTTCCCTTTCTTTAGAAAAACTATCTCCTACAAAGTGGCTCCTACAAAGCCACTGCCTTGGTAATATGGGAATATTTTGTTCATTTTAGTTTTGGGGTTTTGGTTTTTTGTTGTTGTTGTTGTTGTTGTTTGTTTTGGTTATTCAAGTCAGAAATTCTCTAGGTACCCCTAGCTATCCCAGAACTCTCTGTAGATCAGGGTGGCCTCAAACTCACAGAGATCCTCCTGCCTTTGCCTTCTGAGTGCTGGGATGAAATCTATGTGCCACCACATCCAACAATTTTTTGTTTGCTTGCTTTTGAAGACAGAGTTTCTCTGTATAGCCCTGGCTGTTCTGGAAGTTGATTTGCAGACCATGATGGCCTTGAACTCACAGAGACCTGACTGCCTCTGCCTCCCAAGTGCTGGGATCAAAGGCGTGTGCCACTACACCCAGCTTGTTTTTAGGTTAACATTGAGCTACACAGACACTATGATAACTACCTCAGCTAGAATACATCACTTGGTTCACACAGCTCACTCAGGAAAATAATACAACCTGTTGTGCATTTGTGAATTAGAGGCAGGAGGATCAGGAATTCAAGCAAGTTCAAGGCCAGCCTGGGCTGCATGAAACCCTGTTTTTCAAAAAAGCCAACTTCCTTTATTGATGATTTGTCGTGTACTACATAGTATTTTAAGTGCTTTATAAGTCTTTACTAGTTTAACATTTAGCAGTTCTATGAGGAAGTTCTATTATACTCAGTTTCAAGTAAGGAAAGTGAACTCAATGAAGTTATAAGCCTCTATATACAGACTATTATATCAGTTCATCTTCACAAAGCTAAGGAAGTCAAGGGTTAGAGTCCAGCCCATCTCATTCCATGGCCTACCCTGTACAAATTAGAATCAGGCTCCCTAGAACAACTCTTGTCCCATCTCAAACTGCAAATGAGAAAATCTTAGGGTCTCTCTTGCCCATGTTTTTCCCATGTGGCTGGCCCATCGGAACAAACTCGTAATTGCAATGGGCCAGCTTTGAGACACAGAAGCACAAAATACTAAATGCCCAAAGTGGGATACATTTTGCTGACTTTCTGAGGATGCTTATAAAAAACAAAACAAACAAAAACAGTGCCAGTGATTTGCATAAAAGAAAAGGTCAACCTGGGCCTCTACAAAAAGAGTCTGGGTCTTGTGCAAAGCTCTATGAGACAACAGGAAGGCATGTGTGTGTGTGTGTTGGGGAGGTGTCCTGTCTCTCGCTTTCACTGTGGCTAGCTGAGAGAGGATTTCATATCAAATGTCGCAAGATCCCCAAGGGCAACGAAACATTTCCACACCCTGAGAAGAGTGAGCAAAGGAACAGAGTGAACAATTGACAGAGCAAGACTTCTTTTACCAAGCATTTGAGCACAGCCAACTTGGCAAGAGCATGAAGCTGAACACTAACTAGTCCTGGAGGGCCATATCAGAAGAATGGGAAGCTGACACAACTTAAGTGGCTCTGTAGCTACCGCCAGTGAGCAGTGTTCTAACGTGGCACCAATCTTTATGGGGCAGAAGGATGAGTCCTACAGACTCAAGAGGGTGTCAGGTCATTATATGAGAACTGGGGTGAGAGCTTGCTTGTACAAATAAAGCTTGCCTGAAGATTAGAGGGTGGGGCTAGCTGTGGTGATATATTGTTTGTGATCTAATAAAGCCACCGGAGATCAGTTTGCAAAGCCAGCCACAAGAGTTAACCATAGAAATTAAAGGTGTGGTGGCACACACACCTTTAATCCCAGGACTCAGGACAAAGGCAGATGGATCTCTGAGTCCAAGAGCACCAGGGGCTACTCTTGAGTGAATCAGAGCTCACACCTTCAATCCTAGGACCCATGAGATGTATTTAAGACAGGAACAGAGCCTCCAAGATGGCACTCCATTCCACTGAAGATAGGAGGCATAGTCTCTAGTCATGTAGAGGAGAGCATAGCACTCTGAATCTGAGGAGTAAAGTTGGGAGCAATCTGAAGATCGCCCTTTCATCTTAGCTGAGGCAGAAAAAGAGCTAGTGGATGGCTGCTTTGCTTTTTTGACCTTTAGCTTGAAGCTTTAACCCCAATATCAGTCTCTGTTACAGCTAGCCACTAGCTAACCACAGAGGTCTGTAGGTCTGTACAGACAGGAAGTGAGATGGCTGGGTGGAGAAAGAAATACAGACAGGAGAAGACAGGAACTCAGTCTTTTCAGTCTGAGGGTTCAGAAGAGGTAAGAGTTCTAGTGACTGGTTGCTCTGCTTCTCTGATCTTTCAGCTTTTAACTCCCTAATATCTGACTCAGGGCTTTTATTATTAAGACCTGTTAGAACTAATGCTACAAAGAGCATGTGGAATTCTCTGGTAAAGGTGTTTCTAGGATAATGATGAGCTACATCTAAAGAATATACTGTGCACTATCCCTACAAGAGGCCAGGAAACAGAAGGTCCAGAGAAGAGATGGGCTACCAGAATCTACATCTTAACAGAAGCTCTAAAGTGACTCAAAGGAACAGCCAGGGGCTGAGAGTCAATGTGCAGAATATCAGATTAGAAGAGGAGCCCCTGAAAGTCATGGGTAGGAAAAACCCTAGCAACCAGATCACAGCTGTTTCCAACAAAACAAAAGGGACGAAGATGAGAAAAAAAACTGACGCCTACACAATCAGGAGGCTGGACCAGCCATGCTCATCTGAGACCAGCCTTTAGCGCCTCATGATTGCAAACACCTGCTGTATAAAATCTTTCATGGTTTGATTTACTTCTTCATTCTAGGTTTTGCTTTCATTTAGTTGAATTCCTTTCGAAAAATCCCAACTTCATAACAGTTAGCTAAAGTGAAAAAGAGTTTGTCCACATCCAGTCTCCTTCAGAGGTAGAATGGAGGAAGCAGGCCCTGGCTGGAGAGTGGTAGCGGGACTGATGGGGCCCCTAGAGCAGCAACACCCACTCTTCCCAATGCCCGACATGCACAGGCTTTCTACTCCGCTTCTACTTTCTATCCTGTGTGAATAGTGCAGAAAATAGAAACGTTGGATTCCAAGCCAAAGAAGACAGGAAACATCAGAACTGAGGTTTGGACTTGGGTTTATGCAACAATAAAGGCCACACTCTCTATACCCTATGATTTCGATGCAGCTAGAAAGAAGGTGAGGCTTAAGGACAGAATCACTAAGAGAGGCACACGGAATGACTTTCTTTCCAGCCTGGTGTTTATTGTCCCTTAGCACACACACACACACACACACACACACACACACACACAGAGAGAGAGAGAGAGAGAGAGAGAGAGAGAGAGAGAGAGAGAGAGAGAGGGAGAGAGAGAGAGAGAGAGAGAGAGAGAGAGAGAGAGGGAGAGAGAGAGGCCAACCTTGTTCTCTAAGTAGCCAGAGAACTGAGATAAAGGAACGAGGAGCATATGAACTACCCACTTTCCCCATGTGTTAAAGGGCGGGGCCTCCAGAGATTCTGCAGAGATCTGGGGTCTCAATGTAAGCTGCAGAAAGAGAGCAGCAGGTCACATGGTGACCTCACTCTTCCATAGCTCTACCTCCCCAGCCAATGGCATACGAATTCTCCCCAAACCCTTCTTCCACGGGGACACTTGTCTAACAAACCATACATGGTTTCTGCGGTGCACGTGCTAATCTGTACTGGTCCTGCTTGAGTCAGGCGCCTTTTACCTGTAGCACCAACCATCTCTCAAATCATGACATGGATATTTCTTATTAATTATGAATGCCCAGCCTTAGCTTACACCTGTTTCTGGCCAGCTTTTTTTTTCCTTTAATTTAAATTAACTTGTTTTTCTTCATCTGTGTTTTGCCTCAGGGCTTTTTACCTTTCTTTCATTCTGTATGTTCTTCTCCGTGTGTCTCTGTCCCCCCTAGATTCCTCCCACTGCCTGCCAGTCCCCCATCCCTCTTCCTGCATAGCTATTGGCTGTTCAGCTTTAATTAGACCAATCAGGTGCAGTAGGCAGGCAAAGTGAAACAGCAACACATCTTTACAGAGTTAAATATTCCACAACATAAACAAATGCAACCTACCTTTACACAGTTAAAGTAATTTTCCACAACATTTACCCATGATGTCTCTTCAGTCTCTCCACAGCTTAAGCTGGCCCTTGTTTATACCTTCATAAGTACTTCAGAATATTGCTTTCCATCAGATGTTTCTAGATAGGGAATATTTCTCAGAAGCATCATAACTTGGGGAAAAAAAAGGGGCAGCTTTGGAGCCCAATCTTACTTAGGGTGTGAAGAAAAAAGTAGGCAAAGGAAAGAGGATTTTGAAAGAATATATCTTGGTAATAGGAAAAGGTACAAGAGGGGAGGTTGGGTATGTCTTAGTCCATATTCTAATGCTGTGAAGAGATGCAATGACTCTGGCAACTCTTACAAAAGAAAACATTTAATTGGGGCCGGTTTACAGTTCAAAGGTTTAGTCCATTATCGTCATGGCGGGAAGCAGGGTGGCATGCAGACAGACATGGTGCTTGCTGGAGAGAGGTCTACATCTGGATCGCAGGAAGAGCAAGTAACACTGGGCCTGGCTTGAGCCATTTGAAACCTCAAAGCCCACTCCTAAAGACACACTTCTTCCAACAAGGTCACAGCTACTCCAACAAGGCCACACTGCCTAATAGTGCCATTCCCTATGAGTTTATGGGGGCCATTTTCATTCGAACCACTACACAGGGGTTTCATTTTAAGTTTTTTGTTATTAATGTTGTGTTTGTGTGTGGTATATGTTGGCATGTGCTACCACACTCATGTGGAGGTCAGAGGGCAACTTTATGTACTTGCTTCTCTCCTTCTGCTCCACATGGGTTCTGGGGATTGAACTCTAGTTGCCAGGCTTTTGTAGCAAGCACCTTTTCCTGATGAGTCACCTTGACAGCCCCCCCCCCAAGAAGTTTTAAGGGAAAAAAGGGAAAGGAAAACTCCCACAGAAAAAGTGAGGAGAGAGTGAGTGTAAGGTCTGGATGCATGTATCAGCAGATTCTTAGAAATTATTTTATGTGACTTCTTCTTCAAAAGTGAGAGTATTCAACATAACCAATGTAACCTACTAAAATGTCACAGTTTAATTAGCAACACAGCTCATCACAACACAACTGTGCTTTCCATGACAGCATGCATAGGATTAATTGCAAAAGAGAAGAAAGAATAGGGGCCAATCAATAACCAGATGGAAGGTTGTCTTCAACACCAGAAATCTCTAAATTAGAGTGGGCAAGAAAATGGACTGGGCTGTAAGAAAAAGATTTACATACTTAATCTAAATATATATATATATATATATGTATATATATATGTGTGTGTGTATGCATATATACATATACATTTATATAACCAGTGGTATGATAATATATGTACATTACTTGTGTTAAATATGAAGTGGACTGTGATGAATATTCACATTTTTTTCTGTTGGCATAAAAACTTAGATGATTACATCAGACTATAAGCACCATCTTTACAAAACCCTTAAAAAGGCAATGGAGAGCTAGGTATAGTGGCACACACTTGTAACACCAGCTACTCAGGAGGCTGTGTTGGGAGGATTGTGAGTTCAAAGCCAGCCTTAGTAAGACCTTGTCTAAAAAACAAAAGCTGTGAAATAATAGAAAGAAGTAGACTTAGCATTTAGACAGGAATATACTTACAGCTTCTCAGGGTTTCCACAACCCACGTGAAATGGAAATAATGGTGTTTATAATTTAGGCTTATTCTGAGGAATGAGTAGAATATACAGGGTCCCATTGGTACTGCTGATGGGAGATGTCACTCTGTAAATATGTTTCTCTTACTGGTTAATGAATTAAGCACTGTTGGCAAATAGGAATGCAAGATAGGCAGGACTAGGAGACAAGGAGGATTCTGGGAGATGTAATAGAGGAGATTCAAGATGTAGAGTCTTGAGAGAAGAGGTCTGGACCCTCTCTCCAGTAAGATAAGACCACATGGAAACACTTAGATTAATAGAAATGGGTTAATATTTAAGACAGAGCTAACCAATAAGAAATGCCAGTAACTGGCCAACAGGTTTATATCTAATACAATGTCTCTGTGTATTATTTGGGCCGACACAGCTCTGGGACCAGATTGGTGGGAAAACTGCTTGTAACATACTGCCTTTCATGTTAAGCTCTACAAGGACTTCCTGTGGACATTTCTGCCAATAAAGAAGAGAGTGAATGATTCTCTCTTCATTGCTGTTACACAAAATATACTGAGGAAATCCGTGAACATCCAGCTTGCCAGAACCATAAAATCTATGAGTATCCCAGCACCTAAAAGCCATGAGTACATCATTCATTCTCCTCCGTGTTGGCAGAAGATGTGACATTGTGTAAGGTTGCTGTCTTAATGAAAGTCAGGGAGGAAGGAGTCAATATCCGTGGCGAGCACATGTCCTGGCTTGCGTGGGGGCAGCTCTATTCCCTGTACTCTGCCAGACACTGCTGTTGCTGCTGCTGACCGGCAAAGTGAAATTGGTTGGCTTTCAAATCCTTTTGCACAGAATTAGCTCCCCTAAGATTTAACAAAACTCCTATTCCCCATACTTATCGCATTGTGATCCCTGAGTTGTACACGACACTCCCTCGACCCTCTATTAGTATATTCATCAGGGTCTGACCTGAAAACCCACTCATAGTCCCAACATAGTACCTGCTTGAGACAGAAAGAATTCCTTTGTGTTTCAAGTCCAGAGAAGAGTCCCTGAAATCAACCTCAAATATTTCCAATGTGGCACTTGTGCTAAAGGAAGCGTCTAGTTGCTGGGCAGATGTTCCTAGTCATGAGAAAAGTAAGGAAGAGGCAGCAAATGAATAACACTATATGCATGGACTTAGGACATAAATACAGTAGTGAGTGGAAAGCAAACAAAGAGAGGAGTATCCTTCCTCAAGAGGTAACCCCAAGGAAAGCATGAGAGGTCACCCTTAAGCCACGGTCCAAGGTGGCTACCAGGTACCCAACCTGATAATCCTACAGCTTCCTCTCCTGTTTGTTAAAGAGTTGTAGATACTGTTTTCCTTTGATATACTACTTCCAGTGGCTCCTGACCCAAATTATCATCATACCTGTGGCCAGATACACAGGGTACTGGCCGGCTGGGCTCCATGCTTGGACAGCAGGCTTCTCAAGTTCCTTCAACTTCATGGTCTGTTCTATAGGATGCAAAAAAATATGAATGGCCCTTGGCTCACTGAAAACAGAAACTGAAAATCTTAGGGCCAGAGCTATCCAGGGAGCATCTGAAAACACAGGTATTGTTTCTGTTTTCCACAAGATGAAGTATTTAAACAAAATGTAGAATGAGAAAAATGATATCATCTTCAGAGTTAAGGACAGTTCATTTATGCAACTGCTAAAATTGAACTATCTAAACTCCCAAGGTATTTAATCACACAGGTCTAATGATAATAACCATCAAACTAGATAATTTCTCAGTGGCTTTGCCTGATTTCCTTGGCTTTAAATATTGTTTATGAGCCAATGAACCCCATATTTATCTTATTGACACACAACTGTCATCAGAGCACCAATTTCTATATGGAACGGCTAACTAAGTATTTCTACTTGTCATGCATATCTATAATTCCAACACTCAGGGGCCCAAGACCATAAGTTCAGGCAAGCCTGGACTACATACACAGTAAGACCTTACCTTTAAAAAAAAATACACCCACACATATAGCAAAGATAACTAAGTGTCTGGCTACAAAAGGATTTTCTCTCCTACCACGACTTCCCTCCACTCCTCTGTCCATTCAGCTTTCTTCATCATGGTAAGTGGTATTTCTACCTACCGAATCTCAGCCCAGAACCCTGAAACCCACCCTCCATCTCTCCACCGCCCTTTTCTAATCCGCTTTCATCGCCCCAATTTTAATGCCCTTTTCCCTACATCCACCGCCACCAGCCTATTTGAAGGTACTATATAATCTCTCACCTATATTACTACCAAAGTCTTCAAATGACATTCTCCTTGCTACCCATGCCATCATCTAATTCATTATCCACTTCAAAGAAGCGATGGACTAAAAAGCATAGGACATTGATTGGCATTCCATGCATGCAATCAGTGACCTAGCACATGGAGACTAAAACTCTCGGGCGTTAGCTGACCACTACATCTTACTGGGTTTCCTCTTAGGCACTGCACCCCAGCCATGCAAGTCTTTTTCCATCTCATGGCTTTTGTTTACACTGGTGCCTTTGCAAATACTACAGGCACTTACTTCACCCTGCATGGCTAGTTGGTTATCAGATCTTTCTGGGTGAGTATGTAACATCTTCCGAGGTACCCTGCCCAACCCAAACAATCTCACTTGTTTTCTTTCTAACAACTTATTTGCTTACAGTTAGTCTCTCCCACTAACAGCTTCATAAAAGCGGCACCCTGTCTCACTATGTTCTAACCGCTGCTCAAACACATGACTAATGCAGAGTGAGTGCTTGGTACAAACACATGACTAATGCAGAGTGAGTGCTTGGTACAAACACTTGACTAATGCAGAGTGAGTGCTTGGTATCTGACAAACGAATGAATGGAAATATTCATTTCCCTTTTTGTTTTGTTTCATTTTTAATTGTTTGTTTTATGTGTGTGATTGTTCTGCCTGCCTGCATGTCTGTGCACCACATGGGAGGGTGCCTAATGGCTTCAGAGGTCAGAAGAGTGCCAGGTCCCTTGAAACAGGAGTGACAGGCAGTTGTGAGCTACCATGTGGGTGTTGGGAACCCACCCAGAATCATCCGCAAGAGCAGAATGCCACTGCCCCTACCCACAGAGCCATCTTTTCTTTCCTTTGGGGCGTGGTCTCACGTAGCCCAGACTACCCTCCAACTTGTTATTTAACTGAGAATAATTTTAAAGTATTGATCCTCCTGCCTCTAACTCCCATGGGTTACAGGTGTGAACCACCACACCGCATTCATTTAACTCTGTGATTTCCACTTCTAATGTACATTCAGGGTCTCTCCTCACAGGCTAGCAAAAGGTAAAGGGGGAAATCAGCGCCTACTGTGATCTGCTTGAGCAAGCCAGCTCACCAGCTTCACCTATAAAACAAGAGATAACATTACTTAATCTCTATTTTCCAGCTCGAAGAAAGCGTAAAGCTGTCAGTTAAGCTCAGATTTTTCTGGGAACTTCTAAACACTCAGAGCTCTGCTTTGTGTTTTGACCAGCAAACTATACGATTCCGCCGCCAGTGCCACCTGCTGGTCAAGCCATCCGGTACAGAAGAGCAGCGATCATCTACAGCGCTTTTGACAGGCACAACCCATTAGTTTCCCTCAAGCGTTCTATTAACTTACCCCCGTTCTACACAGAAACCGGCCAAGCCGCAATGCAAACCCCGTGCTTTTAACCATGGTATTAATTTAAGCAAAACGTCTTTACGTGCTTTTAAACCGCTGACTGAAGGAACAGAGGACATGAGCTTTCCATACACTTTGCCCTGGGGTTGGCATCAGTTTATAAAAGCCTCCTCTAGGGTCAGAACGGCTGGGGCACCGGAGGGACGGGATGGGGTCGGGGGCCGACGACCAGGGCGCCAGCTACCCTTGGCAGTCCAGTCCCCGGGGAGAAGGTCAACGCCCGCCGACTGCCATACGAGACACTACACAGTCAGTTACGAATGGCCAGGACGCCGAGGCAGGGTGCGGGCTCCCGGCCGAGCCAAGCGAGGGCCCGGGGTGGAGGAGAAGGCGCGCGCGGCGCTTCTGCACCTTGGCTGGGCTGGGGACCCGGCGAGGCAGGGGGAGCGGGACCAGCTTCACTCGGAGGGATTCGTGCTGGGTGCACCAGGGGCGCGGGGGCCTGGGCGGGGTCTCGGCGACAGGCCAGCTCCCCGGCGCTCTCCGCGGGGACAGCGGTGCTCCGGGGCCCCATTCCCGCGGGGAAACCCACCTGTGCCGAGCGCCCGGGTCACCGGTCATGGCCAAGCGAAGGGCTTCAGGGCGCATCGCACTGCGGACGGCGGCTGCCTAGGGCCAAATATAACCTGGCTTTGGCAGTGACCCGCTCCCTGCACTCGCTCAGCAGAGCCGGGTAAAGCCAACACACACCGACAGTCCAGAGGGTTCAAAGCAGGGCCGCCTCACTTGCTCTGTGATTGCACAGTTCTGGCGCCCACCATCAGTAAATTCTACTCTATTCTATTTGAGTCGGGCTCCACGGATAGTCTATTTACGGAAAGGGAACACATTAATTCAATTTATTGTGTAGTTATTAATGCGAGAGAAGACCTGAGCCTCAGCCCATGAGCTCTCAGTGTGATTCATTTAATTAAAATAAGATTAAAAAAAAAAGCAATCGAGGCTGTAAACAGCAGTGATATACGCTGGAGCCCACCAGTATCCATGCCCACAAACTGATTAAGGGCTGTGTGTGGAAGGAAGGAGAGACGACCATGGACCAGGGGCTTCATGTAAGATTTCAGGCACATCCCAGAGCCACGGGCATTACTCCTTGGAGCTGAAAGAACACTAGGTGATTGAACAAAATGGGGAAAGGTGTCTAGGCGTCCTGGCATTTCCTACTCCATAAATCAAAGAGAGTGGGCGAGAATGGGTGCCGGTAGACTGAGGAATACCAATTAATTCTGCGGTTAATAGGGAGTTATTGAAAATTTGGGGCCAGAGGCACTAGTGACCATTGTATTTTGCATCTGGCAGTATGAATCCCTTGGAGAGAGAAAAGCTGGAGTCAGAGATCTGTAGTGATATATTATTTACGATTTATTAAAGTCACAGCAGTCACATCTACTTGAGGCACCTCACTGCTTAGTCCACAAGTCTGAAAATGCGGCTGCTTTGTAGATTATTCATTGACCACCCTGATGACTGTTATTGCTTTCTTATAAAGTTTAGTCTGATTACTATACCTTTCAATCCTTTTTTTTTTTTTTTTTTTGAAAAATTGTTTTGGTTTTTTGAGACAGGGTCTTAGTATGTAGCCTTGGTTGCCCTGAAACTCATGAAGTAGACAAGCTGGCTTCTAACTCAGAGTTCCACCTGTCTCTGGCCCCCATGTACTGGAATTGAAAGCATGTGCTACCACATCCAGCCTTTTTAATGAGTGTTTGCCTGGCTGTCTGATACCACATGTAGTGTCTCCAGAGGCTAGAAGATGATTCAGATCCCCTGGGACCGAGTTAGAGATGGTTGTGAACCACCATGTGGGTTCACAACCCAGGTCTTCTGGAAGCGCAGAGCGGTCAGTGCTCTTAATCATTAAGACATCTTTCCCCACTTTGGTTGAGACAGCATCTCATTATGTACCCCTGGCTGGCCTAGAGCTCAGAGTCATTATGTACCCCTGGCTGGCCTAGAGCTCAGAGGTCTGCCTGTTTCTGCCTTGTGAGTCCTAGGACTAAAGCCATGTGACCAACCACTACAGATCTGTGAACTTTTGACTGTGTCACCTCCAAATATAACATTTAGAAGTCAGGGTTGGAGTTCTCAGTAACACATGTTCCTTTAAGGCAAAATAGCCATGATATCCTTACATATTCTTTGGTGATATCTGCATATAATTTTTATCTGTGGTTGACAAGGTATGCTTTAGAAAATGTTAAGAAGAAAATAAAGATGAATTATGATAGACTCTCAAAAACCATGGCTTTCTTCTGAGGCTGTTACAGGAGCTTGGATGCATCCCCGAATCTACAATATTGGCAATGTAAACTTATTAAGAAGCTGTTTCAGAAAACTTGCTTTGAAAGGAGAAATGCAGAGATGCCACAGTATTAGAGCAGTCCACCCTCACTACTATCCTATCTATACCTGAAACACACTCCTTTCTTTTAAAACATAATTATTATTGAAGTTTAAATAAATGCTCTGCTTTGAAACAGTCTTACTATACAGTTCAGGATAGTCTCAAACTCACTACACAGCCTAGATTAGTCCCAGACTCAGAGATCCTCCTGCCTCAGCCTCCCAAGTGCTAGGGTTAGAGGTTATGTACCACATGTCTTTTAAACCTAAAAGCTATTAATTAAAAGTGTTCGGTTGTTTTTATTTTTATAGCCTAAGTAGCTCAGGCTGGCCTCAAACTTGCATAATCCTGCCTCAGCTTCCTGCATGTGAAGATTATAGATATGCTCCACAAAAATGGTTTTTAAAGGAAATAAATCCTGTTCCAATGGGAAGTCCTTCCTTCTCTGGC